GTAAGGTCCCTTCTTCACATCGCTTGAGTACATATAGACACAGCCACAGCCCCTCCATTGGATCAACACATGAGCTCCAGTCCCTCGCCTCAGAATCGTCTGGTGATCGTCATCAAGGGATCCCCCTGCGTCACATTGTTGCCGCATACCACTTAGACGACGGACGGCCGCACTTTGCCCTCGAGCTCTATTACCTGGATGATGAGTCCAATCATGCCGCTTCCATGACTCTCCAATTCGGCGATCCCGAAGACATGTTTGCGTGGCTCAAGATCATAAGACATGCCGCCAATGCAGCCCGACTCTGTGATGCAAAGCCCATCTCTGCACATAACTCCCACCTGGCTGCGCGCGTCGTAGAAGCAGAGCGTGACTATGTGCCTCCACATTATGCCATATATAAAGTTGTCCTCAGACCCCAAGGGAAAACCACGGCCAGATCTTCGTCCGATGATCTGACAAAGGCATCTGCTTCAGTATGTTTTCTTGCAATTGGCGTGCACAAAGTACACATCATCCCGTTGTTCAAGCCGCCTTCGCAACGATCTTCCAGTCCATCATTGGTGTCCCAAAACACACAATTGTCACATGGTATCCTGACCCTGACTGAAGTTCGCGTCAACGAGATTGATGATACCTTTCAGTTGACCTTCAGGTACGTACTCGAATGCCCACAGCGAGAGCGACTCTGACAGCATGCAGAAAACCTCTAGAAAGACCAAAAGTGCTTCAATTGGCGTCGCTTGCCTCACGGGACATAGCTGTTCGCCTACAATATGTTGAATCTAGTCTAAGACCGGAGTGGGAAACGCGCCCATTGGATTTTCTGGTCCCCGAGGAGGTACACCAAGACATTGTACGACAAGAAAGCCCACACCCTATGGACCCTGATTCTCTAGATCGCACTTTAATAGGCTACTGTATCGCTTATGACGTTCAACCAGAGAACATTAGCTATCAGATTACGTATCCACCAGAAGACTCTCCACGGTTCGAGCTCCTCCCACCCAGCTCCCGGAGAACCCAGTATACTACACTTGAACTCCTTGCTGTAATGCGCGCCCTGAGGTACAACGAAACGTTTGGTGGAATTTCATTCAAAGATGTACACCTGGATATCTTGAATGGGCTCAAAGACCCAAATGGTGCGGAGCATCTTTGTCTCAAGACAAAACGCGGCACGTACGCGCGCTTGGATATCGAAGAATTAGAGCGATCTTGTCTATTGGTTCAGGAGATCCGCGCATTGGCCCTGACAAACCGGAAGCTTCGAAGAATGGACTTTTCGGGTTGCATCACACGGAAACCAAGCGACCACGGGGAATCCAGAGGCAGTGCAAGAGACCAAGGCTGCGCCATTGTGGAAGCGCTGTTTCCACTGTGCAAATACCAAACAACGAATGTTGATTGGATAGCTCTTAACAGAATACAACTGGGGGATACCGACTTGGACTACCTCGTCGCTGCAGGAGTCGAGCGAGCTTGCCATTTAAGGGGACTGGAATTGAGCGGGTGTGGTCTTACAGACCGTGCATTGTCTCTTGTCCTAGACGCATTGCGTGCGCAAGAAACTACGCTAGAAGCCATCGATCTCTCGTCCAATCCTTTCCGCCTTTCACCAAGCATTTTCGACTCTCAAATTGGCGTGTTTGGCTATCTCACACGACTGAACCTCTCACATCTTGCACGCTCGTCTGGCCTTGAATCCCTAATATCCGTCGAGACGTTCCAAGGCTGGAGATTACAAGAGCTGATCCTTAGCGGAACATCGCTCAATGCGGCTACCGTTGACGCCATCGCTGGCTACCTTTCTAACTATAAACGATCTTCAGCCCTTCGCGAGGTAAAGTTGGATCATTGCTTTCTTACTGGAAGGGACATTGCTTTTCTCCTGCACGCAATGACCGAACATCCTGGCAAGGCTCGCGACCTCCATCTTGATGTTAGCGAGAATAGAATTGAGGAAGACCTGGACGCGTTAACAAAAGCAATCGCCAATGGCCTCGCTCCGTCGAGCTTCACTCTGCGTTTGCTTGAATTTGAAGAAGACGCCGACTTTCGGAAGATGATTCTCGCTTTGGCCGCCAATAACACCATTCGACAGCTGGACATCTCGCGAGCATCTCTACCATGTGACGCTTCAGAAGAGACGTGTCAAGCATTAGAGAAGATGTTTGCTGATAACAGAAGCCTTGAGTGGCTCGATATTTCTGGCGAAGACTCTCGCCTTGAAACAACCAAATTAGGCGTCGGTATCAACCGAGCGTTGCGAGGACTCCAGCGCAACAAAACGTTGCGCGCTTTGTACATCAGGTGTAAGTTCATAGTCTTGAGTATAGAACAGTCAAGAAACTAACAGAATTAGATCAAAAGCTGGGCGTACAAGGCGCGAGTACCCTTGCGGATGTGCTCAAGGTCAACAATACTCTACAATACCTATACTGTGAGGACAACGGTATTGCCTTGACTGGCTTCACGGATCTTGTTAATGCGCTTCATCGAAACACTACCCTCCTATATCTTCCATCCATGCATGAGTCCCGCCAAATGGCGCTCAAGCAAACAGAAGACCAAGTCAAATCAATGCGTGACGATTTGCCAACAAATAACCAATCAAAATCATCCTCCGTTCGAAGCAGAATCGCAAACAGAGTGGTCAGCAAGACTGCAAAAGAGCCCAACTACCCGACAGGTCTGTCAGATCAAGACATCAAGGCCGCGCTGGGGCTGGTTGACGAGAGTTGGGCCAGGCAAGAATATCGTCTGCAGCAGTACTTGACGCGCAATTACAACATCGCACACGGCATACCAACAGCCATGGATGTCGATGAGGAAGAATTCGAAAGGCCAGATACAGCGAGCAGTTTAGGCAAGATTCTTGAAAAGGTTACTATCGAGAGCACTCCTACTGCAGAGAAGGATCTACAGCTTGGTAGCCTACTTCCGGAAATAACTACGACGCCGATGATAGACATTGACTATGACACTACACCTTTGGAAAAAGAGCTCGAAATGTCTTTTGGTAATACACCGGCCGGATTCCCATTCCCAAACTAGTCAGACAGACAACTTTTAATCACACCTAATCGTAATTGGGCCTCTTTTTTTACCACTTCTTGCCCAGCATCACTCTACTGTTGCAATACCTGTTTGCAATTACTTTCTTCACCTGTATATATAGGGCTTTTTTGCATATACCTCCCTCGAAAGAGATCATTCGGCGTTTGTTTTCTACCACAAGTAGTAGCTGACGATTTTGGAATTCGGGTCGTTTGGCGAAGGAACCGTCTGGTCTGGATAATTTATACTTTTTGAGTACATGCATGTTCTAGGCTTAGGCTCATCTCTGGACGGCTGTTTTTCTTCTTCAAAGATACCATTTAGATTATTATAAACAAGGTTGAAATTTCGGACTCTTCTCAAGAAAAAAAAAGCTCAAGTTTAAGTCTCTTTGTTGAAATCTAGCTGGGACTGATTCATTGGTTTGTTGCAAGTATGAAATATGGTCAGTTCAGATTTGAACTTTGTGCATTTCTGTCTGCGATCGCGCTGCGTGGGGTATACCCCACTAAACAAGCTCATAACTGACATGTCCGAGCTCCGGCCGAAAATGTACGTTGACGACATCATTTCGCTAGAAATGAGTTAATTGAACCTCACACCATCAAAACCAAAACAACAGACGAACCAATTGCGGTCACGAGATAAGATACGACTTTTTGTATCTTCTCATGGTAGCTCGCCTAAGAAGATGGTCCGACAACATGGCAGTTTAGAGAAGGATGAAGAGACGAATCAGGCGGCCTGGGAGGCGGCGCGTGGTGCGCTAGTCGGCGGTACAAAGGTATGAGATGTCAGTCTCACGGATTGTGTCTATTACATCTTTCCCTTCCCCTCACTGCGATTTTAAGGGTTTGCTTGAAGATGGGAAGCAAGAGAAGGAGAGCAATCGCGAAAGAGCTAGCTGTGGGCGCACGAGCGAGTTTCACGTGAGATTCGATATTGGAAGATGTACCGACTGCATAGTTCACGGCCGTGGCGCTCGGTTGCTTTTATGCTTTATTTGTGTTTTATCAAGGCTGATTGGCCATATGAGACATATCGTACTAACTCTGATACAACCAGTGGGGTGCTTTCTTCGCTGTAGGAGGCGGTGTCGCGTACGCGTTTTCCCCCCTCTACCGCGGTCTGACTGTCCAATTCAAAACGTAGGATTATATTCCTCCCCTTTTTGAATTGCATACTGCTCTAAAGTTCATGGTTGCTAATCAATTAATCAGATACATACAGATGTCTGGCATGATACTAGGCGGCATGCTCGAAGCAGACAAGCGCATGGTAAATTACCAGCATCGAGTGAGACATCACAAGAGATTGGCGAGGGATATGGAGATTTGGAGGCGGTACGAGGACACGTATGAGGAGAGAGGGACGCCGGGAGTGGGAGCGGAGAGCGATGTGCACGGGCCAAGTGGGAAAAGTACATAGGGCCAATATGGGAGAACATTGTGAGTCAGACTAGAGATTACGGAAGGCTGTTGTATTGTACGATATCAGGCGTGTATCCATTACCCACACATGCAATGGATGGGTTACAGACATGCTTCCGTTTTGGGACACTTCTTCTAGATGATTCCAGGATTTCATAACAGAACAAACTTTACAGTCATTCTGCTGATAGGAAGTCTCGAAGGAAACACGACTAGCAACACTGTAGTACTTAAACCATATAAAATGCCAAAAATACGGGAACATTCCATGTAGTATGGACTACTGACATTGTTGCGCGGGCGTGGTGCGGAGTGAACGGACCAATGACGTGTTTCGTTCTGCGGAGGCAAGGCTGACGTAAGGTCTCTCCACCAACGGCGCGCCGCTTTCTTTCAAAAGCCACCTTGCGAATTCGCTTCGTCTGGTTCTTTAGGCAGCCCTCCCGCTGTTCCTCGCCCACCACACTTCATTGTCGCATCTGTCTGTAGCTACTACAGCTTCACGCAACAATGGACGTTTTTTGGACGCTCCCTCCGGTCTCTAGGTAAGCTTCTTTCTTCCTTTTCGTATAGCTCCGGAAGTTTCGCATCTAACAGCTTCCCATAGAACCATTACAGCTGCAGCTGTCGTCGTGTCGGCGCTGGGTTATGGTGGCATCCTCAACCTATACCATGTCGTCTTCGCGACTCAATATGTCTTCACTACCAAGATGATCCCGCAGCTCTGGCGACTCTTTTCTGCGTTTCTCCTCACGAAACCGAAATTCGGCATCCTGCTTGACCCATACTTTTTGTACCAATATGGCAGCTCCATTGAGCGCGAGTCCAGCCGCTTTTCGCAGCCCGGCGATTTCTTTGTGTATACCATGTTCGTCGGCAGCGTCATTGTGGTAAGTACCTGCTCGTAGCTATTTCGCGCCCCATCGCACATACATGTAGTTTATCCATATCGCATCGACCCAAGCTGTCTGCGATGCACTGACTACGGTCTCAACCACCTCGACATATCTGCCCGCCCAGTCAAAAATTGATCTAGCTGAAGCGGTTCCTGGAATCGAGGAAGAATACCCTTGCACATCATGCAGTTCCGCTACAATCCAAAAAGGGACTGTATGGTGTGTAGGCATGGTGGGATTGTCACATACCGATGCGTTGCGAACTCTCTATTTCGCAAGGTTATTTGGGGCTCCCTACATACCTTTACCACTTGTTTTGCTTTGTTGAATCGCTTGTTGTGGATATAACCTGGAATGGGCTTATGCTAATGATCCATGTAAAGGGAACGGCAGGCTGTCTTCTCGGCTCATATACCTTCCTTCCTGCGCTGTCTCTCGCATACGCATATACCTTTGGCCAGGACAACCCTACGCGATCCGTGCAGTTCTTCATTCTCAACTTTGACGCCAAGTTTCTACCCTTCGCTATGCTGTTCCTTACATTCGTCATCGATGGTCCTGAGACAGCGGCTTCACAACTGACCGGCCTCCTTGCCGCGCATCTCTACGATTTCCTCACAAGGATCTGGCCTACGTTTGGAGGTGGAACAAACTACATCCGTACCCCTCAGATGGTGAGAAGTTGGTTCAGTGCAACAGCTGGCAGTGTTCAGGATAGGGGATATGGTCATGCTGTCCAGGGCCGCGGAAGAGCGGCTGGTGCGCCTGGAAGCGGTGCACAGCCGACTACGGGCAGGACTACTGGTGCAAACACACCTTGGAGTGGCATGGGGCCTGGTCGTAGGCTGGGAGGCTAGACATACCGGCTGGAAACGCCGTGTAGTCTATTTATGATGAGTACTGCGGTTTTTGGTATTGCCTGAGCAAAACTCGTCATTGTATTATTAGCATTGCAGCAATTATGTAAATGAAGATACTATAATATGATTTGCTGAGTTTCTCTATAGCCATTCAGATGTTACGGATACTGTGACTGGAGAAAGAAGTACCGATAATCCAAACCTTTACATATTTCTAATGAACTTCAATTTTACATTTCTTTCATGAATTCAATACATTTGCCTCTGAGCTATATTTACAAATCACTTTCTCATACACTAATCACTCAATCGACATAACCCTTGTTACTTTGAGCTCCCAGCCGGATTGCTAGGCCCATCAACCGCCCGCTCCACATGTCCCGCAATCCCATTCTTACTCGCATCAAACTGACTTCCGATCACACCGTCCTTGCTAAACGGACCTCCAATCGCTTGGCCGATGGCTCCTATCGCGCCATCTGGGTTGACTATTTCCCTCAAACGTTAGTGTCGTATTAACTTGAAGCCGGTGGATATGAGATGAGAAAAGGTGAGAGGAAAGGGGGAGGGGAGGAGGGGGATGAGAAACGCACAGTTCTTTCCAATTGCACCAGCAGAAGAGAGCACACTGGGATTATCCTGTGGAATAGCATTTGTGGATTTGTTGGCGCCGAGTTTATCGGCTGCGGAGGTGGTGCTGTCGGTTATGTTGGATGAGTCGGAGGGGTAGGTGGATTTGGGTGTGGATTGGTTTTCGGTGCCAAGGCCGAGTTGTTCCTTTAGGGGGCCGGTGGACTTGGGCATTTTTTGATGGTGTTTGGAGGAGGAGGGTTGACGGGTGTATTGTGGTTATTGATTTGGGTTTAAGATGTTGGATTTGAGTGTGGATGTAGATGGGGAATGTAACTTTTCGGGGCTTGAAAGTGTTATTTATATTTAAGGTGAAACGTAGGTATTGCTTGAGATGCTTGGGTTTGGGGCGCTTGTCGTCACTGGGAGATAGGCGTTGTGCGTGCTTGAGTGACAATCGTGATGTCATGACGACACTTGGACGTGAAATCATATTCTTGAGCGGGAGAGAAAAGTCAATGATGTAGTAGGCTCCTTGCAGATCGGAATCTAAGCAAGTGGCTTGTAGTTCTTACGATGTGCAGATCGTTTGTTTTGGGGATTTGCTGGGTCGGTGGGACAATGGCGAGAATGGTGTTGTGGTGGTGTCATTGGTTTGCATGTTAGGGTCATAGTAACATTCACATACGCATGGGGCTTGAATGGAAGTTTGGCAATGCATTTCGTCATTGAGTCATTAGTTCTTGAGGTCTTTGAGGCTCGTGTTACGGTGATAAAATGGGTCGAGAGTAGAAGGATGGGGGATGGAGCTTGTAGAGTCTGACTGTGGATGATGTGCCAGTGCGGCTTCTATGCTGTCGCATGTTTATGTAAGAAACATACGATGGCACAAGAATGAAACAAAAAGGCAAGCGAAACTAAAGTGCTCATTTGATTCATTACAGCCTTAATTGAATATTAGGATCAGCCCCCTGGGGACTTTTGTGTACAAAGAATTCATAGTTAATTGTTGCACGGAACCACGCTACAGCCTGCCTTACACAGTAGACTATAACGACATCTCGTGCAACAATTATTTTAGCTCGAGCTTCAGGATAAGTAACGTTGTCTCCAGATGTTCAGCACTTGACAGTTTACGTGAACAAGATGCATCATGGTAAAGCATGAGGAAAGAGCAACAGTTGCGCATGAAATATCTATAACATCTGCAGTAGTATTAGAATACATTCAATTTATTATCGTATTCAGCTACTGATTTTTGAGCCACGTTGGTAGCATGATCCGACAGATCTCACGTGTGCGCATGGCAACTAGGATGGCAACTAGGTAACTCTCTACCATACCTCTACCCCTACCCATGGTCTGTGCAACCCTACCCTACCTCTACCCAGAAATGATCTGAACCTACCCTGACCCTGCTCAAGGTCTGTGCGACCACTACCATACCCCTACCATACCTCTGGGTAGGAAATATCTATCTGTCAGCCTATAAAAGAAGGAGTAGATGAGAGCGCCGAAATAAAAAACAAAGTCTTAACTAAGTACTTCACCCAGAACACCTAGCAAGCTGAGTAATGGGGATGACCGAGGGATGACTGGCATATCTGGTTAATGACTGAGAGGAATTCCAAGACTAATGGGAAAAAGGTGATTATCTTTGCACATCAAAGATTTGGTTAGCAATCCGGTGAGCACTGATACATAGAGGAATTAGCGAAATTATTGAAGAAGCTTTGATGGTATCTTAATTGGGCTGACCTCAACCAAGAGCAGAAGAAGTCTTCTCGTAAACATTCAAACACATATACATTCAACTCGGTGATTTGACCCGAACACCTTTGAATAACTGTAATCACAACGCTAAAAACCCGACTATAACTATTTGCTCCTAAATCTGCCCCCAACTTTTGGAAACGTCAATGGCAATTTAAGTTTTGCAACGAAATGATTGGCAGCCTCAGCCTTTGTGAGCTTCAGATTTGTGAGATCAGCCTGTGTAGGGGGCGAGAGTTTGCAGCCTAGTTCAGCAAAATATTGCTTGATTCTATCGATAATTGTCAGCGCGTGCTACGAAGCCATTCTAAAGGCAGGACTGCTTACTCCTTGTTCTCGAGTTTGAGGTCTTCGCGGAGATCATTGACGTCGACTGCTTGGTCATCGACAATGAGGGCTGCGGCTGCAATGTGGGTCATGAGATTATCGACGTTCCAGCGAGGCATTTCGGAGCTCCTAATAGATGTTAATATGGCCTCTTGTAACCGAAGATTCAGAAATACTCACCCCTCCGGGGTAAACTTCCGTCTGATGGCTAAAACACATCCGGCTGGCGCATCCTCACCCATGGCTGCTTCAAGCTTGCCCTTGATGGGTATCTTCTTCGGCCGAGCACCGCCTGCGCCAATCAAGGCTGCGTTGAAGTTTATGCAAAGCAAAATAAACCGCAAGACCTTTAATTTTTGGATTTGCTTGTTCTTGGCGAGCTTGACGATGCGTCTTGCGACGTACTTGCTAGTGACTTCGACACCTTGACCAGCTGCAGATGCCTGCACCCAGTCCTTTACGTCGAGCATAGTCATTAGCTCGCTGCCAACAACGGTACTGATCGGGTAGACATCGCCAGGGTATTCGGCTGCGAGATTTGGAATTGGTCGTGGTTTTGAGCTGTCGACAGCTGCCGCAAGGTCTTGGCTGGTGGGCATAACACTGGTGGAGGAGGACATTTGCTTCAAAACGTTCTCGGCAACGTCATCAGCTCCGGCGCCACTCTTAATGGCGTTCAGTGTGCGATCCTCGAGGGCCTTTCTTGACTTCTTAGATCCGAACTCAGCTGCAAGCGCAGCTCTCTTTGCCATGATTGTGTTATTCTGGGCCTCGAGCGCTTCCTGCTCTTGGCGCATCTCTTCGACTTCGCTTCGCAGTGTGCTTCGGACAACAACTCTCTTGACGGGGACAATCTGCAGTTTGCTCGTCGCCGGGTCGTATACACCAACATAGTCTTGCAGCTGGCTCTCGGAGCTGCCATCGCGTTCTTCCTGTGCGATGTAGTCGAGGCGGGGATGATCAGAAGACTGGAAGAGCAGTTCGGTACTTTCGCCTTGTGGGAGGACCTTTGTACGCTTGTATGGAGTGAATGAGATTTTGGGGGGAACGGCAAGACCAGGAGTGACAGCTATGAAAAGTCAGCGGGAAACAGTAGGCATTGTGGGCAACGGCGCAGGTATTGCGACAAGCTGGAGAGGCAGTCACATACCGAGCAATGGGCCCAACGTTTCTTTGCTCTCTACCATGTCGACGCGGACATTGCCCTGGGGCGCGATGACGGCCTTCTTCTTGGGCCGTTCGCCGTTTTCGGCGTGTCTCTTTCTCTTCTTTTCGCTCATGTCGTCGGTGCGGGCGCGATATGGGAGGGCGTGTCGCGCCATGTCAAAAAGTTCGACCTTGAATTGGCAGAACACTGGGGCGGTGAGGAGAAAGATGGTAGGCGAGCGACAAGGGTGCCGACTAGCGCGGATGGCATGACGTACGCGCGAATCACGCGTCCCGGCCCTCTTCACTGCCGCATATCCCAAACGCCATTGTCCTGGCCAACCATCCTGGCGCTGCCCTATTCGGATCCATCGATTATTGTACTTGGCTCCGAGGGTAACGGCGTGCCGTGTAAATAGGCAATTCCAACTGTGCTTTCATCCTTTCTTCTCCCTCCAGTGACAAACATCATCCGTCTCCATTGCTTCTTCGTCCCCTGCTAATTTCCTCTCCTCTCCTCTCCTCTCCTCTCGTCTCCATCCATCTCCCCACCCCCACAATGCCTTCCGTCGCCCAGAAAGCCGGAGACATTGTTGATCATGTTGGCCATCGCGTCCACCATGCTGCCAAAAGCGTTGAGGCCCAAATCGGGGCTACCACGAACCAACTCCTCCCACTCCGTCGCCGGGAGGAGATTATTGAGCAGTCACGCGACTATGCCAATAGAAACCCCAAGACAGCAGTATGTTCTCTATAGGCGCCTGCCCGACAACCCACACTAACATTTATGCAAAGGCCTTCCTAACTACCCAAGCCGCATTCACCGGCATTCCCCTCATTCTCTTCCTCGCCTTCGCAGCCGCCACCCTCCTTGTCTCATTGGCCACCTGCCTCTTCCTTGGTCTGCTCGTCTCGCTCAGCGTCACCTTCTTCGTCGTTGGATTTGCTCTGCTCTTTGTTGTGCCCACTGTCTTCATCGCTAGCTGCTCAGCCACCTTCCTTTTCATCTGGGGCTTAGCAGGCTTCATCATCCTCCGCAAGTTCAATGAGCGTGGAACATCAGCCAAGCCCAGCACTCGCTTTGGCGGTGCAGTGAAGAATGGTAATGCTGCTAATACTGGAGAAGCATATGCAGATGATCCAACAAGTTCTGGAGACGGAGGGCCAGTGAATCGAGTGCATGGTACTGTCGAATGGGAAAGGAAGTGGGCAGACGGAGTGAAGCCTGATTCTGTTGTGCTGGAAACAGACAACGCCTATCAAGTGCTGAAAGCGGCAAGTACGGAGCCGAGCCTGTATGCATGGTTACTAACCAACGATTAGGAGACGCCTGTACCTTCAGTCTCGTTCGCGTGAGAGCAGACATCGCGAATGCCAGGACACAGTAGTAGATGTCTTGGCCTACTCGAGCATCATCAGAGTGTTATTCACCACTTGCTTTGTAGCTGTTGACCTATGAGTCTTTTTCTTTTCGATAACAAAATCAGTGAGGAGGAACATTAAACAGCCACAATAATAGGACAAATATTGTCATCACAATACCTGCAAGTGACATGGTCGTTGTGTCGATTGGAAATCTACAAGCCTCAAACAAATACTACTAATGTTGACGCCAACCCTATAGCAATGAGATCCAGTCTCGCTTTCTTCATATCAGCTTGAAAACGGCCACGAATTCGACGCGTCCTATACAACTCAAGGTGGGTCCCTGCCTGTTGGGGCTACTCGCACCTGCCTTACCCCACAGTCACTTCAAGCCCCTCCAACTTGCCATCCTCACGCCACCTCTCCAACATTCGCGTAAAGTCCACTATACCTCCGCCCCAAATCACTGACCTTGCCCTTTTCATCATTCCTTCATGGTCATCTGGCGCCGGCATTTTTAGTGTCTCACCCTCCAGATTTTGATGCCCTGGCGTGCAGATTACGTTTGCACCGAAGACGCCGGAGCCTTTCGCAATCATCATGCCCCACCCTTCCTCTGCCTCAGCCGAAGGCTCAATCACTACAGTCCCTGGTCTATCCAGCGTCCGCCTAGAGGCAATTTCAATAATGGAAGTCGCATGCTCGCTCATCACATCCATAACATGACCCCAATTTGCCGTTGCGGTACTTTGATCCATACCAAGCATAAAGAGATTAGGAAACCCGTTGGTTAGAACACCTTGGAAAGTGCTGACGCCCTGAGTTTCCCACTTTTCTGATATTTGGCGTCCATGACGACCAATAATCTCCGTGCCGGTACGCGCCCCTGGAGCCCCTCTAGCACGCGGGGAACGATACCCTGTGCTTAGAATAAGGATATCAACTGGGTATTCTTGACCGCTGGCAACAACCCCCTTCGCCGTGATGCCGCCGATTCCAGCGCCATCCGTGTCAACTATATGCACATTGGTGCGATTAAAGGCTTCCAGGTACTGGTCACTAAAAGTCGGACGCTTGCACCACGTCGGGTACCAAGGTGTCATCTTTGCAGCTGTTTCCTTGTCTTTAACAATCTCCGATATCCGTGAGCGAACTCTTTCGCTATTTTTCGAATCGAGCGCGAGCAAGTTACCAATGTGCTCCTGCAATCTGTCGCGTGTAACATTGCCAAACCGAGCGTTGCCGTAGAGGGAGCCGAAGCTTTTTATTTGCAGCCACCCATGATTGGGGTCTTCATCTTCCATTTTTCGATTCCCAATAACCGCTTCTGCAAAGGCCTCCCTCCGAGCTCGTTGCCACCCAGGTTTCGCGGCTATCCTCTGATGCCAATCCTCGGGGTCTGTATCACGTTGACCTAGAGAGTATACTTGGGGAGGTGTGCGTTGGAATACATAGACATCTTTGGCGAACTTAGCTGTTTGGGGAACGAGCTGGATTGTAGTGGCACCTGTACCGATGATACCCACTACCTTGTTTCTGAGCTTGGCCATGTCTGGCATTTCGTCATTGGCAGAACCTCCGGTGATGTCGTAGTTCCAACGCGCTGCATGGAGCAATGGTCCGGAAAATTGCGCCAATCCAGGTACTCTGGGTACTTTTGGGTAAGGAAGCGGACCAGTGGCAATGGTAACCATCTCGGCATAAAACGAAAGATTTCCCTCTTGATTTCCTTCTGTACCACGTCTCATAACTACGCTAGTCTTCCAGGCCTTGACGTCGTTGTTCCATTCGAGTTTGTTGGCTTGCGTGCGAAACGAGACTCGACTATTCAACCCAAACTTGTCGACAAGCTGCTCCAGGTACTCGCGAATCTCAGAACTGGAGGAATACTTTTTCTTAGGCATATATCCCGTGTCCTCCAGAAAGGGAAAATAACAATATGACTCAACGTCACAATGCAATCCCTAATGTTGCTGTGGTCAGTCTCATTAATGCGGGTCTCAAGTAAGACATGAACAGCCTACCGGATACCGATTCCAATACCATGTCCCTCCAACACCCCCAGCAGTATCGACTATGAGTATTTCTTCAGGTTTGAATCCTTTTTTGATCAATTTGATCGACATGATAATTCCGCCTATTCCGGCCCCAAGGATCAAAAACTTGACGCGACCACCATTCTCAATTGGCAAAGGAAGTGCATCAAGTGCATCGTGATCGGCCCATATATCTTTGACCAGGCTGTGGAGACGGTCATTTTCGCTAAAGTGAAGCTGCTCATACTGATTCATACCGTCCTTTCTTAAGCGCTTCGCTGCTTCGAGAGCATACTTTTGCACAATTGGCGCACCCGGGTCGTTCGGATCGACAACAGTAGTGGTAGCCATCTTTCTTATCACACCAAGAGCTGTGTTGTACTACTGAGGTCAACGTAGAAGAGTCTTTGTGCACAGGGCCAACGTAATAGAAGTGTGTGGGCAAGACCGTTGATAAGGTGTTCTTCGTGCAAGATAGTTTCGGACATGTAAGCAAGCACGCAGCGAGGGCTTTACATTAAGTAGTTCTCCAGGAAACTTTCCCTGTGAGACGGGTCGCCCTGGTCCAAAATGTCGGGTCTCACGCTTAGTGGGCGGATGTTCGGTCAACATAAGAAACACCATAGCGTATCTCTCCATGTGTAAGATTCGCCCCACATCAAATGATAGCGGGGAAAGAGGCAAAACTGCGGGATTTCTCATATTTATCTCTTGACCTTATGAGAGACTAACTCCGATTGACGAATCAAACGACGAGAGACGGACGCCCTGGGTTACACTGTCGGACCGATGATGACGATCGACAGGTTTGGTCTCTCGAATCCTTGGTGTAAACTGATAAATGAATCGTGTAGACATCTATCCACATAAACGGAGTCAAGCGTGACGGATGGTAAGGAATGGTATGTGTTTTAGAAGAAAAAAAGACAGAGATATCGATGTTTTTACTTGCCGTACATCAAAAAGCGTCGACAGACCTCCAGCCAGAGGGTATCGCATCCAACGTCAGAATCAATACTAGCCGCCAGCTCGAACAACCTTGCTCGTCTCCCGTCGTGGCCGTCGAGCCATGCTTCACCGCCAACTTCTCTTACGCCTTTCTCGTCAACGATGAGACCTTTCCCCACAGCACCGCTTGTATATCTCGCACATGGCGGCGTTCCATCAACCACAAAGTCGAGAATACGATTGCGCCACTGCGAAAGCACGGGTGCATAGTGCGGGGGTAGTTTGTCCTCATAGTCTCCACCAAGCAAGGTAGCAATGTCAAAAGTATGCGTTGAAAATGATCCATGGTTGCGTATTGGGCCTTCGAACGGGTTGCCAAGGTCGAAGACGTGGAAATAGGTAGCGGGCACGAGGTCTGCTTGGGCGAGACTCAGTGCTGCGGCAAAGAAGCCAATGTCGCTTTCGAACAAACAGATGCGCTGGAGAGCGTCTGCATCGTTGGCTGCGGAGCTGATACCATATAGGTCTAAGAGTGCTGCGCCGTTTTTAGAACCTAAAACACCTTGAGCGATGCAAGCGAAGGCTTCAGCGTGGCCGCTTCTACTACCGTCTTTGCTCATCATGTTGTAGGATATTCCGCCGTCATACGTAGTCGACCCGATAATCTGTGCTTCGACGGGTTTCGCCCATTCACGCCAGTTTGGAGGAGCCAGTTTGCCTTCTCTTACCAGTTGCATACTTGGTTGCTCAAAGGGAAAGTATGTACTGTTCGTACATGGTAGACCGACCCAGGCGAGGTCTCTAATTTTGGACACATCGGCATTTATCATATCATTTGCAATGAGTTTTGCGTCTCTCTTACTACCATTAGCCTCGTCAACGACAGGGATACCCAGTTTCTTCGCCTGCGCAAGAAAATTATCATGGTGCTCATCCGGCGTCATGGCAGGCATCGTAACGGGCGTCCCAGAAAACATAACAGCGCGCTTGAACAGCGGTGTGTGCATAGTCTGCACAGAAACACTTTCAGCCCCTGCGCTCTGCCCGATAGCGGTAATATTATCAACATCTCCGCCAAAGTCACCAATGTGCATTCGTAGCCACTCGAATGCGAGAACCTGATCGTGGATGCCGTTGTTCTCCGGGACCAGATTCCCCGCATATTTCGAGTGCAAGAACCCAAGCGCGCCGAGGCGATAGTTGATTGCAACAAATATGATGGGTGTGCTGCGTTGTATGGCGTGGCGGACGAGGTTCTCCGGGTTGTAGTATGGTCGGTTTGCTGAGCCGAGAAAATACGCACCTCCATGGATGAAGACGAAGACTGGTAATTTGGCCGCAGAGCGTATTTCCGCGCTATCATTTATGAGAGTCCTGGGTAGGTGTATAGAGAGATTCAGGCAATCCTCCGATTGGGCTTCATCTTCTGGGAAGTTGTCTGTTGGAAGTGGGATGTTTGCAGCGTCGGATTTCACGCTACCCCATGGTTGAATACTCGAGGGTCCCGGGGTTGTGGCATCAAAAACGCCATCTTTGTATCTTTCACTGTTGCTGTCTGAGAGGTTTGGACAGAGCTTTGCGCGCGCGAAGCGGTGGGGGATGGTGCCGTATGGAAGGCCTGGTAGTTTGATGAAGGGATTGTTGTTTTGATTTAGGCATTTTATTAAGCCCAGATTCTTATGTATGATGGTTATATGGGCCATTGTGGGTGGACTTAGGTATGTTCATCTTGTGTGAGGTGTCTGGATACGCCAGTGCAGTCGATCTAGGAGTCGTGACGTCAAATAAGTCAGGTCGACACTTCAGAACAAGAACGCTTATAATGCTCATGTCAACCGTTTTTCTCTTAAAAAGATTTTTAAAATCGTAGAAAGGTAGAGCCTAGATGATGGTATGATTCATGTTGCTGTCATCTGCCAAAACATTGTCATTGGCCAAATGCAGTTAGCCGCTTGACCTGGCACTACTTGTACTCTCTGCACCAGCATAGCACATGTTGCATTCTGACGCTCGCGACATCAAGAAACGTTAAGTTTCTTGTTCTCCGTCGAACGGACAAATCTTGTACTATTTCTAGAAATGTCAAGAAATGGTTCCTGCGTAAGTGATACCAGAAACCACTGTGCTGGAACTACACTAGCATAACTAGCTGTCCTCAATTATTAATCACGATGCATGGAGAAACATGTTTGGTGATATGATTGCTTATGTCTTTCGTATTTGGTATCAGTCTCGGATAGTTATCTTGTAGCCCCCACTCAATGACCCGCCAGCGTTTGCGCCTTCTCCATGTGGCTAGAACCACGACGGTTAGCCTAGATTTTCACATGAGCATAGAAAAGCTTAGCCACCCACCAAAAGCTTGGTACTCGAAGTGATTGAACTTTGTTTTGCTTTGATTGAGACTGTTCTACAGTTCTCGTGTGAAGAATGGTGAAGCATCTCCTTCTTGCTTCGCTCACTGTAGGGGCATTGGCTCGTCCGGCGGCTTTGTCCGACACAAAGCGCAGCAATGTCACTAACCTCAACGTCATGCTATCTGTTGCTAACGGGCTCTTGGATACGCCTACCGATGGTCGCATAGTATTGATGTTGGCGCCTGCTGGAACTGATCCTCTCGACGACACCGATGTCACTTCGTCGCCCAACAAGATATTCGGAAAGAACGTATACGGGTTTGGATCGGATAAGGCCGTCACGTTGTCTGGTGGTAGTAACGACAATACTGCGACTGGAGTCTTTGGTTGGCCAAATCCCAGTCTTGACAACATCGACCCCGGTAACTACAGTGTACAAGCATTCCTTACCAGATATGAGACTGTGACCCGCAGCGACGGATCCAAGGTCAGCCTCCGCTTTCCATGCGGCGACGGTGCACCAAATGTCAATGGGTTTGGGAGTTTGGTGACACCAATTACAAACATCACCATATCTGGCAGCCAACAAGTCGTCCAACTGACCTTCAACAACATCACCGAAGTCCCCAACTTCAGTGGGAAAGAAATGGGCGGATGCAACCAGGGCAACTACGAGGATACGGAGCTTCTCAAGCATATCAAGATCCGCAGTAAGAAGCTAAGCAAGTTCTGGGGGCGAGACATGTACGTTGGCGCCAACATCGTGCTACCAGCCGGTTACGATGCCAACGACACAAAGACACGATATCCCGTCATCTACCACCAAAACCACTGGGCAGACGGTGTTGGTGCATACAACTACGGCAAAAACGAAGATTTCACGTCTATCTGGAATAAAGGCATCATCCCCGCAACAGACAGTAATCCAGAACGGCCAGTCCCGAAATTCATCACTGTCGCCTTCCGCCACGAAGCACCCTACTACGACGACTCGTACGCCGTCAACACCGCAAACCTGGGCCCTTATGGCGACGCTCTAAACGATGAACTCCTTCCCTACATTGACCAAAAATTCAATACCATCCGTTCCCCCTACGCCCGCATCCAAGACGGCGGCTCAACCGGCGGCTGGGAATCAATCGCAAACGTAATTTACCGCCCCGACCTCTTCGGCGCCTGCTTCTCTTCCTACCCAGACTCCCTATCCTTCTACCGCCACCAAGACATCGCTCTCTACACCGCTTCCAACGCCTACATTCGCGATGACGGTAGTAGCGTCCCCAGCATCCGAACCTTCGTCAACGGCACGCAAGTAGTCGAAGCCACCGTCGCATCCGAAAACCACTGGGAACTCACCTTCGGAACTGCCTCGCGCTCCTTCAACCAATGGGACATCTGGAACGCCGTCTTCGGTGTCCAAGGCTATAACAATTATCCGCTTGAGCCGTGGGACAAGGTGACGGGCGAGATTTATCACGATGCTGTGGCATACTGGAAACAATTCGACCTCACCGAATACATCATTGCGAATTTCAACTCGACTCGTAATCTCGGTACTGCGCTTGCAGACCGGCTTTTCGTCTACGTCGGCTCGTGGGATACGTATTTTCTCAACGAGGGCGTGCAGGAGTTTCGGGATAGGACGGATGCGGTTGGTGGCAAGGGCTGGGCGAATGTTACTATCTTACCGGAAAAGATACATGGGGGCAATTATCAAGATAGGAATATTTGGGATTATTTGGAGTTGGTGGAGGGGTGGGTTAAGGAGCATACGCCTGGGGGTCCTAAGCCGCTTTGTGAAGCGTGTACGGCGCCGTCGACACGTGGGAATGTCTGGGATGAGGTTATCAAATTTGGGGGTCGCAAGGCTGCTGTTGGGCGCCAGGTGGATCCAAAGATTCAAGCGGCTGGGAAGGTGGTTGTGGGACAGCGGGTTACGGCGAGTGTTGGGCGCTGGGATCCCGGTGTCGAGTTGACGGCTCAGTGGATTCTGAACAGCAAGCCTGCGTGTGAAGCATTTGCTGTAAAGCAGGGTGCGAATGTGACGTACACACCGACTGCAAAGGGGCATATGCAGTTGCTGGTTACGGGAGAGAAGAGAAACTATGTGACTGAGACGAGGAAGAGTCAGAGGGTACTTGTTAGACGGTAAGGTTCCTGGGAAGAGTGAAGATTAGTACAGATGGTATATTCCTGTATCTTCGATAAAGTCAATGTTTAATGCTGATCTCTTTTCTGTACACTTCAACCCTCTCTTCTCAGACGACGCTCTTGCAACCCGGTAACTAGCCATAACGGATGATGGCTGACTGTTCATAGGGAAACTGTGAGTTTCTTGTGCTACCAATTGTTTGGTTGTGATATTGACACACGTGATTGCAGTACTTCAAGCATATTCTTCAACGAATCTCACAATGTCAAATCACAGTTCAACAGAAGTATTTGCTCGAAAGATCATTGATTGAGAAATCCACTTATCCGGAAATGTCCTCTGCCCTAGCCATAACACCAGTCATGTGACGCCTTTGTGAGTGATGAAATAAGTTGGATAACATGATATGAAGGAAATGGAAACGCCTGCTTCTCATGACCCACTTCAGAAGCCATGACGGTCTAGGATGGTGGACAGTTCTAGCCTTGGGACCCTCAACCCGCATGCCAGGAACCAGTGGATGAGATGCTGGTCTTGGCAATTACTAGGACAAAGCATGCCCTTATCCGCTCTGCAGCAACATGTCGATAAGAAAACGAAGGTAAAAAATATGATGGGCTCAAGCTTCGCCAAACAGGCGGGCAGTAATGTCGCCCATGTAAGCCTCCTCCAGCTCATAGTCCTCACCGCCCATGCGATCGATGCCGACATACTCAAAGGCTTCTACGACAATTTCAACGTCGAAGCCCATTGCCACAAAGCGGTCTATTAAGTCCTTGTTGTAGCCCCGGTATGCCGCCAGTTTGGACTTTTCTTCGTTTTGCTTGGCTTGCTGAGCCTTCTTCTTGATTGAAGCAGCCGTGGCACCACCGCTGCCTTCTGCGATTTCCTTTTGTGGCGCACCGGCGTACTTGACCGCCCACTCACGGGCCTTGTGTTCAAACTCGGCTGGGTTTCGGATGAGCATGCCAGCGACTTCTGCGTCTTGAGGATCTTTTGGTTCGGGTGTGCTGAGGAGAGATTGGAGCGAGATGAGGGCTGATTTGATGGTCAAGACTGGCGACCATTGGGACGATAGTGTGTCTAGACAGATGGCGCCCTGTGCTTATTAGCTTTGGGTGGATCTAAGCAGAAGATCATGGTAGCGCGGGTACTTACTGTCTGTGAACTGACATTGGGGTGCCAGATCTTGGTGTCGAACTTCATGACAGGCGGGCGGAAGGGATACTCGCTGGGGATCTTGATGTCGACAAAGTAGGTGGCGCCCTCGTATGGAGTATCGGGCGGCCCCGTGAACTGGCCGCGCAGATGTGTGAGATCATCGCCGTTTCCTGCGGGCTCGACAATGATTTTGGAGTGCTGGTCGTTTTGGATATCGGCAATCTCCTTGGCAATGCGCCTGCTTCGGTTCGATGTAGCCATGGCAGCGTGGTGGCGGAGTGTGTGCAGTTGAAAGTGATGCGTGGGAGAGGAGGCAGGGTAAGGCTGGAGAAAGTAGGCAGCAAGTGGGTGGTGGGTGCAACCAGGGTATTTCTAGACGTGAGAGTCAGCCTGAGGCCCATAACGACCGGTGCGGGGGATGCATCGTGAATACGGTTGGGGAGTGTGTCTGGCAATCTGCAGTCATAGACGTATACTGAGCCAGAATGGAACAAGCAAAACACGCCACCTACCCGTACTGTACAAGAATGAAGGCCAAGTACGTACCCAGTGAAGGGCGTAGGAAGCTCGCTGGCGGGGTTGAAGCTCGACGGCGTGGATCCTCCAGATGGTTCGAGACACAGGCAGTAGATGGAACGGGCGCGTTTGTGTGCCTGCTTAAACGAAGACGGTTATCAGACGAAATCTGGCAAATCTGTCACTGTAAAGTCTATACAAATATAGCATGTATGGATTGGGGTTGGCAGAGCTGGGGCTCCAGGCGGTATCGAGTGCAGTGACGCCACAGCGGACTAGTCCCGACCCCCGACATGCACGAGCTTCGCCATCAGCACATCAACACCTCTTACAAACATCCACGGCCTCACAAAGTCTCCATCGCCTTCACCTCCACCACGCGCGCCCGGCCATCCTGTCATTGGCACCCTTCATTGATATACACGCTTGATCCACTCACTTCTGCCTGAACAGGTGTCATGGTATGTAACATTGCTTCTTCCCCGAGCGGCAACCACGATATGCTGACCACGTCCAGGGTAACCAGCAGTCGAGCGCAGGAGGCGGGCCTCCAGGTGACGATAAGAGCAAGAAAGATAAGGTGTGTACCAACCGCCCCCTCAGGTGTGACAGCATTTGCGAGTCTGCCATGTGGTGCCTCAGCCTAGACACTGACAGCCGCCTTATAGAAGGATAAGCCAAAGTACGAGCCCCCGCCACAACCCACGACCCGCATCGGCAGGAAGAAGAAGAAGGCCGCTGGTCCCAGTGCCGCTGCAAAGCTCCCCACCGTCTACCCGACCGCGCGATGCAAGCTACGATATCTCCGGATGCAGCGCATTCACGACCACCTATTGCTAGAAGAGGAATACGTTGAGAATCAGGAGCGCCTCCGCAAGGCAAAGGCCGTCAAGGAAGGAAATGCGCCCGCCGCATCAACCGCCGGAGAAGGTGCGGAGGACCGGAATGCCGACGAGCGTTCGCGCGTCGACGACATGCGAGGCAGTCCCATGGGTGTTGGCAATTTGGAGGAACTTATTGACGACGACCACGCCATTGTCTCGAGCGCGACTGGCCCCGAATACTACGTTTCCATCATGTCTTTCGTCGACAAGGATCTACTCGAGCCTGGCGCGAGCATCCTCCTGCACCACAAATCCGTCTCCGTCGTCGGTGTGCTCACAGATGATGCCGACCCGTCCGTCTCAGTCATGAAGCTCGACAAGGCACCCACCGAATCATACGCAGACATTGGTGGTCTTGAGTCACAGATTCAAGAAGTACGAGAGGCCGTCGAGCTGCCTCTCCTACATCCGGAGCTGTACGAGGAGATGGGCATCAAGCCACCGAAAGGTGTCATTCTGTACGGTGCCCCCGGTACCGGAAAGACACTGTTGGCCAAGGCTGTCGCCAACCAGACGAGCGCCACGTTTCTGCGCATCGTTGGTAGTGAGCTTATCCAGAAGTACCTTGGAGACGGTCCCAGGCTAGTCCGACAGCTGTTCCAGACAGCTGCTGAGAATGCCCCCTCCATTGTCTTTATTGACGAAATCGACGCCATTGGTACCAAGCGTTACGAGTCGACTTCGGGAGGTGAACGAGAAATCCAGAGAACTATGCTGGAACTCCTGAACCAGCTGGACGGTTTCGACGACCGTGGTGATGTCAAGGTCATCATGGCCACCAACAAGATTGAGACGCTAGACCCTGCTCTGATTCGCCCTGGTCGTATTGACCGAAAGATTCTCTTTGAGAACCCTGATCGTAAGTTGCGACATCCGTTCAAGTATACCAGTGCTGACCATTATCAGAAACCACCAAGAAGAAGATTTTCACTCTCCACACCTCCAAGATGTCGCTCAATGAGGATGTCGATCTTGACGAATTCATCAATCAGAAAGACGACCTCTCCGGTGCTGACGTCAAGGCCATCTGTTCCGAGGCCGGTCTCATGGCCCTACGTGAGCGCCGTATGCGTGTAAACATGGAAGACTTTAGGACCGCAAGGGAGCGTGTGCTCAAGACGAAGACTGAGGGTGAGCCTGAGGGCTTGTACTTGTAGGTTTGAGACACAAGTTATGTCTTGTATCATATTCCCAGCCTTTAGCTACGCGCCAGTGTGCTGGTTGCAGTCAAAGCTTGGTTATCATAGAGCCATAATTCCATGACCAGTCATCTTCTGCGGTATGTTGTGATTCTGCATGATCCACGTAAGTTCCCAGTGTACCCAATGTCATTGCTATGCTAGAAGTGCTTCTGTGCCGGTTAATAGGAGTACCCAATGTCATGTGCATTAGTCGCTCCTTCCATCTCCAGGGGCTCACTCCTGACTAATCATGCCACATTGTGAGTCAAGCCTTGCCACAGCCTCTTTCATCTTCCTAGAATCTCACTCAGTTCCCTTTACAATCATGTAGCTTTCGTGTGCATATACATACCGCTTTACCCATGTACACTCAAAGTTCCAGAGTCATGAAGATGACAATATCATCGATTTACTCAGATATGTCTACAGGCGTCGAATCAAAAAGCTTAATGTTTGGCAGTGAAGAGCAGAGTACCCACTCTATAGTGAAAGAACGCGAGCACAAAGGCTGCGGAGGGTCGGCCGGATCGCGCAATAGTGAGAGGACAGCGCCGGACTGCTGCCTTAACGTATTTAAACTCACCAGCACAACCTTTTTAGTCAGATTCACTTTTCGGTTTCCCCCCTTCCAGTCGACTGCAATCAGTTTCCTACTAAAGGCCTCTGCTTCTAGTTGGTCAGTTGACCGGTTGCCGTCAGTGTTCGCGAAATATCTAGTCATGATCCCAGCACAATCCACTCGGCCTCTGACCATGAACATTGCGGCCCCAACCTTCAATGCGCTTAATAAGCCCCAAAAGCGCGCTCTGATCTTGCGAGATCAACTCCGCTTCGTCGACCCGCAACATCTAAATGGGTTCCTGGAAGGAGTCAGTAAAAATGAGCCACCGACGTACACAAAAGTCAATGGTATCATCCAACCGGAACTCACCCTGGTCACACTCAAGGCAGAAGCCACACACTTTGACCTTGGGAATGTGTTGCTCCCTGAAGAAAAGAATTCTGTCTATCGGGTCCATCTGCTGGTCGAGAATGGCCACATAGATATGCGCGCCGAAGATCCGCTTCCGCAGGATGATGATGTCCTTGACTCTGTACCCATTCATGGCTTCATTGCTAAGGGCATGGTGCCTTTGTTCAGGAATAAGTTCCATGCCATCTACTCCCAAATGAACAAGATCAATGGAGCCAGGCGGGCAGCCTACGACATGGCGAACCGGGCCCCAACACCCGTTCACGATGGAGAGGTATGTTACAGCGGGCTTCTGTTTATAGCGCTAAACATATGGCTATGTGTTTGGTTATACTGAGGAAAGATCACTAACTCTTCCTAGACTCTCATAAGGCTTAATCCTCCCAAGCGTGAGCAAAGCCAGCCAGCTTTACAGTGTAAGCATATCATTCTTGCACCCAATACTAAGGCTAACGAACAACAGTAAATCCTAGTGGATCATACCAGGTCAAGCAGCATGTTTCAAACAAGCGCAAGCGCACAGGACTTGACACCATCACCGAAGACACGAAGAGCAGGATATTCGACACCATTCCAAGCAACATCAAAGTCAACCTCTTCGACAGCATCGTAGAAGCCGCCATTCCAAATTTTGACAACGTGATGATGGCATCCTGGAACGTCGTATCCATCTACTCCGCCTGCGGGAGCGACTTCCCCGACCTCCACCGGTCAATTGTTAGCTTGAAGAGCGTGCTTCAGGATTTCGACGAGGCATTCGGTAAACGCGTTAACCGAGAGACGCCCAAGTACCGGCACGATTTCTGCGGTCATACGCAGGATGATGAGAACAGAGGTGGTGATGGGGACTGCACACCAGACGAGCATAGACACGATGGTAGAACTCGCCCCATCTCACACGTCACTGTCAACAACGAGAATGCTGGAGAAATTCTAGATCAATCAGAGAGTTCCAATACTGACCAACACATCTCTAAGCAGAAGGACATCGCCACACCAAACGACGGCACTGAACAAACCAGCGATGAAGAGAAACCAAACATATCATCTCCCTTCCAAACACCCCACCCCGCAAATCCTGCAGAAAGAGAAGAACGAGAAATCACTCAAGATGCGACACAAACTCCCCGCCTGAATTCCAAATCCCTTGTCTCAATGAGCCCATACAACGCCGCCAAATTACCGTCCAGAAAATGCCTCGACACCCGTTCTACTACTCCCCACAACGGCGATCTACACAAGCTCTTGACAAATGCTTCTCACGAGAACGGACTTCACAGACTTGCCGCTTCTGAAGATTGTCGCAAGAACGCATACAGCAGAGCTTCTGTACCTCTGCCTGCTGGCTATTCAGCTCGTTCCACGCTTGCGCCCAGAACGAGTACGTCGGGTACGGCGCCTGTGGCGAATATGGTACCGAATGGGGAGAAGAAGAGGGATGAAAGGGGTGAGGAATAAATTGTTTACTCTAGTATTTTCGAAAGCCGGGGAATGAAGGTTGATTTTCGAAAAGGATGCCAAAGTATCTAGTTGCAGCACGGTGAGGTGAGGTGAGGTGAGGTGTACTTGCATCACCAAGCATTACCACAGCGAGCAAGCAGAACCGAAGGTAAGAGAATCTGTAGCCACGTGAGACTTGTAGCTACATACATAGTTCGAATGCAGAAAATGGTAAACCTTGCTATTTCATCTACAATGCATACGGACACGTCCACCCATGCAGCCAGCACTTTACGCAAAAAAAAAGAAAGCCGCGGTCCAGACCTTCTTTTTCAACAAGAGTTTAAAGAGAAGAAAAGAAAAAGGAAAGAAAACAACATGTCGGTGTATCGTCACGCGTCGAAGCCACAGAAAAGCAAAAAGCAAAAAAAAACGCCTACTCCATGCAAGATCGGCCCTAACGCTCGTGTCGGGGGAAGCAAGAGGCAAAAAAGCAAAAGAGAGAAAAAACAACAACAACAAAGAAAGGCCACTGATTCAAATTCCAACCCAATCCCACCTCAAATTTCGGTCAAACGAATCACTTACTTACTCTCCCCCACCCTCTCACCATAGTCACTTACCCACCCCCAAGCACCTCTTCACCCCCCTCATCATACTGACTATGCGCCCTCCGCAACGGACTCCTCTTCTTCTTCTTGCCCGTCCCACCACCACCACCACCACCACGATCTCTCCCCTTTGACTGAAGATGCTGCTGCTGCTGTTGCGACGCCGACGACGGCGATGAAACCGGCGAGGGCGGTTCCTGATTCTGTTCCTCAGCTTTTAGCAAGTCCATTGCGCGATCGACTTCTTCCCACGAGGGGCGGCTATCGCGGGTTCCGTTGGGGGTAGCGGGACCGGATTGCGTGGCGAGGACTTGGATGCGCGCGGCTTGGTCTTCGGACATGGGGGTTGGGGGCATGTTGTCGTGGGTGTGGGTGTGGTCGCGGACGGGTGTGGATTGTAGGCTGTCGAGGCGGGGGGAGAGACTGCTGCCGCGGCGGCGGGCGATGGGGGTGTCGGGGATGGGGGAGCTACAGTCGGCTTGGATGGGGCTGCGGAGGCCGTCGGTTTCGGCGTCGCTGTGGTGGTCGCTGAGGCCGGCCGAGGTGTCGCTCTTCCACATTTTGCGGAAGGTACTGCGGCGCCGTGCCATGCCCGCTGTGTTGGGTGTGCTGCGTGTTGGCGAGGTCTCGAAGAAGCTTGTGTACTTGTTGCCTAGCTGGTGCACGATCGGGACATCTGCGCTGGATCCCAGCGTGCCGGACCGTACAAAGAGGACTAGACCAAGACACAAGAGCAACAGTGTGGACTGTACTACGGCCATTCTCTTTTGCCAAACGAGTTCGTCTGCCAACAAGCTCAACCTAGTGCCAATCTCGCCCATCTCAGACTTTTGTCGCTCCTTCATACTCTCCAGCTCAATCACCGTGCTCTGCCACAGTTGATCATACATGTTGCGGAAACTCTTGAGCTCTATCATCACTGTACTATTCAGGTGATCCAGGAACTTTTCAGTCTTTGCCAACTGTCGCTTCTCTACTTTCATGAACGCGTCCCGGAGCGCACGGGACTGCTCCTCGATGTACTGCAATGAGAGCGTGCTGTTGGCCTCGAGATACTGAAGGCGCTTATGTATCGACTTGAAAAACGACTCTTGAGTGGATGGAGTAGGAGCGTTGGGTTGCGTAGCTGAGCCCCGTCCCTGCGACTGTGCCTGTGGAGGAATAACTGTGCCATCACTAGAAACTTTGGCTAACGAACTGCTTGAGGATCCTGCCGCTATCGATTCGGTTGAGGAAGTTGTGGGATTGTCATTGGGCGGTACAGATGGCGAGGTGACCGCCGAGGATTCGGTTGTGGAACTGTGAACTGGGGATGAAGCCTCGGCCTTGTCAATGATCGAAGTTGCAGTGGGAGCGGTATTTTCTCCGGGAGCTGTTATATTCAAGTCTCTCAATTTGTCCGTAGGAGTTGGCGAGGAAGCCGAGCTTGGTTCTGAGGCCTGTTGATTCTGGGGCACATCAGTCGTTTGACCAGCTGGTTGCTCATTTGCAACTGTAGACGAGCCATAGGCATCAGATGGCGGACTGGGAGGGTCTGGTTCCGCCTTAGACTCAGAAGTACTCTGATGACTGGTTGTATCGATGACCTGTGACGCCACAAAGCTTGTACTATCGTCTTTCAAAGCTTCAATGGGTATATTTTCTGGAGGCAACGGTCCGCTGTCCACCGCCGGTTTCTTGACTTCGACACCGTCGGCCTCCAGATCTTCGTCATCATCAATTCCTCTCGCCTCCTCCTCTTCTTGTCTGAATTGCTCCAACATTGTAGTGCCGTGCACACGTAGTAAGCTAAGTGGACAATAGTATTCATTTCCGTACTGCGTCAAAAACTCGACGCGAAGATATCTCGCCCAAATCTGAGGCTCGGTGATGAGAAAAGGCTGAATGTCGCGAGAGTTGCGTGCTTCAAACGTGCCCAGGGTCCGCCATTTTTCCATCTTGACAGGATAACGGTCTGACACACTGACTCTAAAGTGTCGGAACATGGACGAGAAAAACTCATAGTTGGCGAGAACAACAGTATCTACCAAAATGTCGTCGCACAACTCAACTATGAGGAACTTGTTGTCTGCCGAACATATGTTCAGCATGTAGCTGTCCTTATTTTCGACCAAAATCGAAGAGGAACTTTTGGCCTGCCTGTTAGTTTTGAGAACAGTGGCAGCGCAGTCAAAAGAGGCATAGTTGAACCGCTCCTTGCACGTCTTACCAGCGTCTTTGCTAAGCGCCCACGATCCTGGAGCCACTTTGCCGTCGCCATTCGCAGTCTTGGTAGCCTCAGCATTGTGCCTGGCTTGCTGAATACCGTTTGCTACGCCCCCATCTTCTGGGCGTCCAAACCCGCTAAAATCAATCGAGATTTCGCCCTCATCGCCAAACGAGTCCAGGGCGTTGACATTGACGGGTCGCCGACGAGGAGCTTGGTTTGATGCTGCCGGCCTGCCCTGCCCAACGTTCTCAGGTGACTGACCGGCCTTGGCCAGATTCTTCATCTTCCACTCCTCAAACGACAAAAAGTTTGCATTGTCAAAAGGCGAGTCTACCTCGAGCTCTAGCTCCGGCTGCGTGCCTTCGGTACCACTGCTTGCTGCACTTGGCGCCGCGCCAGTCGCGTCTGGCTGTGATGATGCGTCCGAGTTGGCGTTCTTTCTCTCCTCGTTTGCGATGTTCTCGGAACCCACCCATATTCCAGGGGCTGGGGTTTGCAGACCTGCGATAGCCCCTCCTCCTTCAACGCCTGTACCGTTCACAGTGGCCGTCTCTCCTGGCGCCGACCAGCTTGTCTTTGCGCATTGCTGTGGTAGCGTGTGTGTAATGTAGTTGATGGTGCGGTACGGAGAGGTGCTCTCGCTGTCGGAGTATCTTCGTGTGGAAAGGGGCGAAGGCGAGGGCGAAGGCAAAGGCAACGAAGTGGCTTGCGATGTATGGTGTGTCGTGGCACCTGAATATACACCAGCAGCGCTTTGTTCAGCAGTCGTCGTCTCATTCGCCACCGTCTCAGCGAGTACCGACGTGGATGTACTGCATAGCAGCAAAAGGATGGTCCAATTATGGAGCGAGGCGCCGGTCGTGAGCATTGCTTGGGTGCATGTCTTGCGCAAGCAGGTTACGGTGCCAGGTGGCAGATGGAGGCCTGGGGTAGTTCCAGGTGGCCTGTCCGATATTAGAGATTGATGACATGGGGTACCGCCCAAGTTTCTGGGGGGAAAGCGCAGCCACGGAGGAATGCGCGGCGTGAACAGGCGTTCGTGTCTGACACGTGTGGCTGTTTCACCGCTTCCATGGGTGAATTGCTTCAGCACAGCGCAATGTTTAGCGAAGCCAATGACGCTGCCAAGAGCACGACATCAAAGGCTTAGATATAGTAACCACAACACCTGTCATATATCTTGTCATGTGGACTTCTCATCAGATACATACATATACGATTATTGTTTTTTGTATTCTTATGCTTCAATCATAAATCCCAAGAGTATGAGGGCATTGTCGTGTCACATACAGTACTGAGCCCATTTCCCAACCAAGACCAAAACAAAAGGAGAAGCATGCAAAGACTTAGCCAGAGGATCGTAGCGTGGCACGCGACACGCTCATGTACAAGAGTGCGTGCTGTTCGTATAATCATCCCATCAAGGTTGCCGTCCTGCATGTGATCCACAAGCAGGTTATCAACCAAGTCCGATTACCAATTCGTCGAGTCTATGCCCAATCATCCAACCGCCCAGCCAAAAGACATACCAGCCCGCCAGCTCGGTCAGGACAGCCCATTGCTCCTCGCCATCATGCGCCATCGTCTAGTACTCATGTGTATCGTTATGGTGATCCGTGTTATTGCTGAAAGAAAACGCCATACGAGAGTGCAACAAGTGCCGATGCCCAAACGGTTTCGCTATACTATGGGACCAAGCGTAAAAGGGGTATGTCCAAAAAAGAAAAAGAAATCCAAGTCGAGTAAGAAATGAAGGCAAACATCCAGGGGAAAATGGCCGAAGATGAGGACGTGTTAAAGGAGCCGCGGGAAAAGGCTAAAGAATAAGAAGGACCAGCCTGGGTAGAGTCGGTTTAGAAGCCTTCGTTGCCTGCACGGCAGACTTTGGCTTCGGAAACCCACTCCGAAGCAAGGACTTGGTGCGCCGTCAAACGACGGGCAGGTATAGGATCGAGAATTGAGTAGATGACATTACGACATTGTCGCTAGATGTGGGTTAGCAGCTATTACTAGTAGCAATTTGTAAAAAAAAAAAATCGTGACTCACTCTTCGCAAAACCTCAATGGGTCGGTATCCCTCCTCCTGTTTTCGGTCCTCGAGGTAGCGGTCAAAGAACTCGTCTTCGCCCTTTTGAGCAACACGCCATAGGTGGCGGCCTGTCCTCATGGCCATGTAGATGATACCACAGGCCCACACGTCGACAGCACGGGGGTCAAATTCCTTGTCCACGTATTCTTCAGGCGCAATATAAGGAGCTGAGCCGCACAAGCCAGCAGTCATGTGCGCTTCCTTTTCCCAAGCCATCCGGAAGCACTCGCCATTACCAAAGTCGGTAATCTTGATGGAGCCATGGGTTGTCAAGAGCAGATTTTCAGGTTTTAAATCGCGATGTGCGACACCCATCTCATGCATGTACTCTACACCACGCATTAGCTGCTTGAAGAAGCAGTCTGCCTCGGCAACTTCGAGCTGGCCGGCGGCGAGGACCAGGGTATACAAATCGCCACCAGAGCAATACTCCATGACTTCACAATATGTGCCCTTTTCGTCCTGGAGCAGATCGAGTGTGGTGATGACGTTGGGATGTTGCATGGAGGAGGATATACAAAATTCAGATGTCAGGCGCTTTTGGTATCGCTTGGCAGACTCGCCAGGTCTTTGCTTGAACTCCTTGACGGCATATAGTTGCTCTCGTTTTGAGTCCTTGGGGTCCTGCTTGTGTGCGACACGAACAATGCCAAAGGCTCCGCGGCCAACAACTTCTTGGCACTTGCCGTACTTTTGGACCAACGTCTGGGGGAGGGCGTTGACAGCATTCTTCTGCTCTGCAAGCTTCTCCTTTTCGTTGCGCATAACATCGACCCAGTTGGACATGAGACTCAATGGCTGGTCTTCTGGAGCCTCACCCTTCTTCTTGCCCAACATCAAGTTCTGGAACATGTCTGAGAGTTTCTCCTGGCGCTTGGCAACCTTGAGGTGGTGTTCGTGGGAGCCGTCTTCGTTGAGCCAGAAGCGCTTGTAGGGCGCTGTGGGGCCATCCTTCCTGTTGACGGAGCCCTGGCGCGCTGGCGGGGGACGGCCGTTGGCAGTGGCGCCGTTTGTGGCTTTGACGTCGCCGTTCTTGTCGGGGTTGGTAGAGCTCTTGATACCCATCATGCTGCTGATGCGCGACGTCATGGTGGGCTTCTTGGGTTTGAGCAATGCTTCAGCGGCGGCTTGCACACTACTTGCGCCGGAGTGGCTCACAGTGGGAGTAGGGCTTGTTGGAGGGACAGGGCTGACGGCCTGGGGAAGCGCCAGAAGTGTGTCTGGTTGGGAGTGGACCGACGATGCAGTCGAGGCCGAGGCCGGGGGAGAGGCGGCGGGTTTGGCCGTTGTGGTGGGCAGGTTGGTGGTGGTCGGGGCCGCCATGGTGGTACCTCTTTGTCTGGTGTAGACGAGGAATGCGCGACACGGCTTGGAGGTAAAGGGTGGGGAGGGGGGCAGGCGGGAGCTCACTGGCAACAGTGGCGGTAATAGTGGTAGTGGTAGGGGTAGTGGGGATGGTAGCAGCAGAAGCAGTAGTGGCAGCAGTGGTTTGGAGACGCAGGTGTCTCGCGGGCAAGAAGCCCAGGGTGAGTTATTGCACGGCGGTCAAAACGGCGTATCTTCGTCGACGGTGGGTGGTGGAGACAAGGTTCGGCAGGTGCGCGTGAGGGGTCTGGAGGCGCAAAAACACGGTGGCGGCGTGGTCGGGCGGGCGGGCGGGCGGAGTGGGCGTGTGAATAAAAAAAAGTAGTCTACGTATGAAGCAAGGCGAGGGTCAAGGGCGGCTTGAAGCGTGGGAGGCCAAAGGCGTCTTTGAATTTGCTTGCGCTCTCACGGGGCACTGGGGAGCCACACAGGGTGGCTGTGCAGCAGATGATGTCGATGGGTGGACGTTGGCCGACGGATCCGCGACTTGCGCACCAACAAAGCCAGCAGCGCAGCGAGTAGCAGGCTCGGCGATAGTTTTCAACAAGAAGAAAGAAAAAAACCAGCTGGCAGAGTTGGGACGAGTGGCGGATCAAATATTGGCTTTGTGCGAGGGGTACACCCATGGTAGATGGTGCACTGCCCGGCCGTCGTGTACGGCTTTCTAGATGAGGCCTGGCTTGCGGGATTTTCGACATGTTTTATTTTGTACGCCAGTGGTTGCGAGAGCCAGTTGACCGCTGCGTGAGATTTGCAGCGGCCGCCAGATGCGGGCTATGGGCCATGGGCCATCAGCTATGGGCCATTGGCCAAGTCACTGGGTTGCTGGGTTGCTGGGTTGCTGGGTCGCTGGGCCCTGGCCGACAGCTGTTGCCAGCCGACGGCACTGAGGTGGGCATAGGTCAAAAGGCGACGCATTGCTAACCTCATACTTGTGGACCGCCGATGGTCCACTGAAAACTCTGCCAAGTGCTGGGCTGGCCCACGCAATTAAGGATCAAGAGAGCCAGCTGCATCTGTCCAGATTGCGACTACATATCTATGTACAAGATACAAGCAGCCAGGCAAGCACAGTGACGCCACTGCCCTTCCCACCTGTCCATCCCCGAAGCATGTCACCATCATCATCATCATCATTATCACAACCACCACTCGAATTCAGGCACAGCCATGCCGGCTTAAATTCCGAGTTCGTCCGATAGCCGTTGGTGGTAAGTAATTCCGCCTAGATCTACAATGCGTATGACGTGCCGCCGACAATGACACTTGTTTACATATTACAAATTAGGCCACAAGAAGCGCAAGTCTGCTTCCATGCCACGCACGTGTCTACACCAACACAAAATACGAGAGACGCGGTTATCTGATACTCTCCCTCTTTCTCTCCATTAGTCCCCCCTACTTAGACGCAACCATGCAGCCATGCAGACAAGCACAGCGTCGCCCTCGTCGTCCAAGCATCGGCCACTGCCATGGCATGCGCCCAGCCAAGCGAGGGGCTGTACGATTAGCAACCCCCGCATCTCAAGGGCGTCGACATGCACACCGCATTTCGCTACACAACCCAGTCCCCGTCCCAGTCCCAGTCCCAGTCCCAGTCCCAATCCCAGCCCCCCAGGTCGCAGGGCCTGTCGACACGACAAAGCCGTTGGTAATAAACAAGTGTCGGCCACCCCACCACCCTGGCCTGACCACTCAACACGCTCCCACTGGGGCCTGGCAACTCTGCACGGCCTTTTTGATAACTGGCGACGGGCGACGGGAGTCGTTGCATGCAGCTTGCCTTGTGCACGGCCCTGTTGATGCTTCCGTCGCCTTGGTATGAACCGTTGTCTTGGGGCGCTGCAACGTGACCGGCCCGGCCCAGCCAAAGCCACATAGTCAAATACCTACATAGACTACTCACATACAGTAAGGACCTCATGTGCGTTTGTCAGCCGGGGCCAGCGTGACGGGAACAAGGAAAAAATTGGTCATGGCCACGTCTAGCTGCCATGACTGAGACATGGCTGGCTGATGGCAGATGGCAGATGGATGCCTTTAATTTTTATTTTTTTGCCTCGGCATGAGGCATACTTACCGCCGCGCTTGTTCCTTCTGCATTTGGCCTTGATGTTTTGGCTCCATTTGGTTGCTCGACCATCGGCTGTCTTGTACATACCAATCGCTCCTTCCGTCATGACAAACACACCCAAGCACTCAACAAGTTTTTTTCCTTCTTCCTCTCATCCGTCGTATGTAGAGTAGTCGACACCATGCAAGCCACCGTCCCTGAGCTGCCTTCACATCCAACTCACACATAGCCGCCCACCCCCACTACAATTACCCGATCCCATCCGATCCTCCTGCGCGTTTAACATTGCCTGGGCCCCGTTCCAAGACACCCAAACCCTGGGCTCATCTTTTGCCATTTGTGTATGCTAACACCTGTCCGTTCCCAAAAAAGCTTGCCTCCCTTTTCTGCTCACGACAGTCACACGGGCAGATCGGGGAACCCGGCAGAACGGGTAAAAAATATTGTCCGCGTATAAGTGCACAGTGGGCCCATTTGCCTGCATGTGTACAAAAATGGATAGTGGGCGTGGCTGGTTGGAGGCACACATCGCACACAGAGTGTTGGATTCACATACACATATTGGGTGGTTATGGACCTCTAGTATTGTACAGTCTAACAACAATATCCTTGGTGCCCATTCTCAACGGCTGTTCCTGCCGTCTCCCACCTTCTGCCACCCCCGCATCTCCTCGCCTCCCTCTGTATCCTCCACAAAAATCCCAAAGTCAACCTTTGTCTTCTTGCTTCCCTTGCGTCCATACAGCTCCTTCTCCAGCGACTCTGTGTCTGCCCTTACAAGCTGCTTCTCGCAGTATCCCGTACGCTGCCTTGCCGCTTTCGCCATTGCAAATGCTGCACGTAGAGGCGTCATGCGGTATCCCATCTGCACGAGCGTACTACCGTGCTGCGAATCCAGCCACAGTATGTACATGCTTACCACCCAGGCTGAAGTCACAAAGACAAAGAGACCACATAGCAGTGTAGAGAAACCCCATTCGTAAGACGGATGGGCAGTGTTGGGCAGACAACGCGATTTTCCCTCGAGATAAGTCTCGTTGTAGGCAATGGCCAAGTGGCAGTAGCCGAAGCTTGTGACAAGGTCCTGTGCGTCGTAGGTCTTGTCCTTGATGATTACGGGGATAGTGGAGTTGCACGAGTAGGTTTTGCGTGAGTTGCCGTCGGGGAAGTCCACGTCTTCAAAGGTCTGCGTATTGGATGTGAAGTTGTAGACACCTAGTATGACGCAGTTAGCGGTGCTGACAACGTGGTGTAGATGGAGTGTTTGAACTGACAGCCCAATCTCATGACTTCATAGAACTGGCTAGTGCGGCCCATGTCACTGAGTTCTTTACTAGAGTACCTTGTTCCGTTGGGAATCTGGCAGTCACCTACACCAAGCATCTGTTAGCCACCCGTCACTGAACCAGCCCATCTCGCATCGGTCCATAACTTACACATTTGGCTCCGCTGACCCACAAACCACGTATACTTGTCTTTTACCTGCGTATCCACACACGCCGGCTGCGCGAACGTCTCATTCGCCGTCCCTTTGACCATCCACGTCGGCTTCACCGACGACGCCGGCACAAGATTATTATCCACGCCCTCGATATCAACCCACGCCACAGCCGTAGCATCGTAACCCGTCATGGCCCCAACCACAATCGGCAAAGCAACAATGTACGCCGTCGCCCATAGCATATAGAAAAACAGCGCCTTCGTCCTCTTACTCTTCGCCGCCCACAACTCAATCAACAGGGTCGCAACAGACTTCAACCCCGGCCCCTCGAGCGCTATCCGCTGAAACGTAATAAACGACGCGGGATGCCGCTCGATCGCCTTCAACAACGCATCACAAAAGATACTATACGACACCCACGACGCCAGCACCTGCAGACCACGCCCGATACCCACATCCCACGCGATGTCGATGGCCTTGACCTGCGAGAACGTGTACTGCCCAAACGTCATGTCGAGCGCGAACACCTTTTCAATACCTGTAATCGTCGAGTTTGCAGGGCGTCCGCCGATGCTGCCGCCGCAGGAAATCACTTTGTCCCGAAAAATTGAGGAAAAGGGGGCGCGGCCGGCGTACGGCGGGGATGTGGCTTCGCCTAGGATAGCAAGCGGGACGACTGCTGTGGCGAGAACGGCGAGGAAGGCCAAGATGTGTTTTCGTGTCTTGGGTGTCCATTTCCAGAAGGAGGATTTGGTGGTGTCGGTGTTTTGTATCTTTTCTTGAGGCGTATACATGATGGCATCGTTGGGGACGAGGTTATCAGTTGACGGAACGGATGCAATGACGAGTCTTTCCTCCTCTTTCTTCCCCACACTGTCACTGCCGCTCGCGTCCATGATTTGTATGGGGGTGTTTGCTTCAGACTTCACAATAAAGATCGAACGTATACACAAACTGCAGTGTCAGACCGCAACACAAAGCCTAGCTTTCGCAGTACAATAAAACAAAACAAGTCAAACTCAGTGTAAATACTAAGATGAAATAGAAGAAGAAGAATAAAAAAAAAGGGAAACATGAAATTATGTATACAACTCAACCCCCGTCCTCCCCCGTTTCTAAATACAGCCCCCTCCCCCCAGCGCAGGACGCCTGGAAAAAAAAAGCGGAAAATTGTCTTGGTATACTACTTACACCCAGTACACCTGCCCCAACCAAGCATATCACCTTTTTCATACCGGGCCGAGTCAGACGGGAAAGACCAATTTCCCTCCCTCTCCTCCTCACCCCCCGGATTAGCCACTCAACTTATCTAGCAACACTTTTAGTAGAGAAAAAAAAAGAACATCTATGCGTGTGTGTGTGTACACCTTAGTTTTACATGCTAAGTAGTACACGTTACACCGAACCAAGATAAAACAAAGTACAAGAAAAGAGCAGGATTGGGAGTAAGTAGTGTTTATAGTTTTGCCAAACTAACAAGGCTTAAAACATCCGCATTTGAAAAAAAAAACACGGTCCGAATCCTACCATTGTTGGCGTGAGTTTTGGGGGGGGGGGGCGTGTGAGGCTGAGTATACGACACACTAGTGTCGGAAATCGGTCAAGTCCCAGGAACATTGAACCCCTAAGTGCTGGGATGACCCTGGCTCGACTCAGCTGTCTCCTTCCCTTCCCCCCCTCAACGGCTGTAAGTACTACACATTTGGGCAATGGAAAACGTCCAGCCGCAGCAAATTGTTGTGGCACAGGAAGATATTATGCAACACCCTTTGTCACCCAATCGCATCCATTTCCATGTGGGGTTTTTTTTGTCCAACGCTCCAGGCATATATTGACCGTAAAAAATTATGTACAAAAGTGCCGTCCAACGCTCAAAGCTTTTCTTGCTCGGCAACCTCAGCTCTGGACTGGAGTCCCACTGCGGCTGACCGCATTGCCAGAGCTGTTGTTTCGAGCAAGAGGCGTTGCGCTCCGACTTCGCTCCCTCTCTCGCTCCCGCTCTTCCGTCTTGACCCGTTCTCGCGCCTCTTCAACCAGTCGCTTGGCTTCCCTCACATTACGCATCGTTCTGCTGAGCTTGCCCTCTTTACCTTCTTGAAGCTTCTGCAGCTCGCCTCGCGCCTCAATGTCTTCCTTGGTCTTGGTAACAAAGCTCTTCAGACTAACCTTGATGTTCTGGCGGAGATCTTGACCTTCGTCAAATATCGCGTCGCTATCACGGATCGACTTGACATTCTCAACGCGTCGGGTGAGGTAGAGAGTTGGGCGGCGGTTTGCGTTATTGTGCTGGTCACGACGCTGTGCAATAATGCGCTGGACCTCTTCTTCGTAAGCAGCTTCGTAGACATTGATATCCACATTAGACGGAGATTCAGAAACAACACATCCGTCTTCAGGCGCCGGCTGAAAGTTCTCGCCGGTTCCAATATTGAGGAAGAGCGTGTCTTCCAACGGATTATGCGCATGTCCCTTACCAATGGGCGTGGTTGGTGAGGATGCCGACGGAATGGTTCCTGTTGGGCTAGAGATGGATTGAATTGGACCGGGTCGGATCGCCAGATTTTCGCGTGAAATCTTGCCATCTGAAAAACCTGGAGAGGTTTGCATAGTCGGACTGCTGGTGGCAGTCAGTCTGTTGGGGCGCTTTCCTGCTTCTGTACGGAAACCAGGTTTGGAATATGCCATGTCGTCCATATGGTTCGGCACTCTTTGTCCTTTGTCGTCTACCTTGATAGAGTGATGCACACCCTCCGCGGAAAGCGCTCCCTCGACTGGTCGTCGATCATGCGTGTCCTGTGATTTTGATTTGCGCAACGCTGATGGCCGCATGGATAAGGGAGGCTGCACAATGCGCGAGGCACTTCCTAGTATACTTTCTATCCGGTCTGGTCGTCGCCTGAACAACAGTTGCTTGAATCGCTTTACTGCTCGTACCTGTCTGTTGTTAGCTTGGGATGGATGTAAGAATTGCACGGATGCAAAGGGAAGACATGCACCTACCACTGTCACAAGGTGGCCCATGTTGCCGGTAATGGCAGCGTTGACTTCCTCGTCTGTAGGTGGTTCAATAATCACGGCGACATTCTCAGACTTTGCTAATAAAGGGTCCGTTCCGTTTCGTGTGACCCATGGGTGTTCCTACTGGGGTCAGCTCTGCTGTCTGAGGATGAAGCGTTCCAACTTACTCTGATTTCCTCCATGGTTATCCTCTTCTTTGGATCCTTTTCCATAAGCCTCGTTAGCAAATCCTTGATGTCGTCGCCACATTCTGTTTCAAACTCGAGTGGGTCCATTCGTATCGATTGGTACAGCTCAATCATGCCGCGTTTTTCAAAGGGTATCCGCCCAAAGAGGAGACAGTATAGGGTGCATCCCATTGACCATATATCCGCAGCTCTTCCTGAGACCTGGCCATGCTTGGCCACGCACAGTTCCGGTGGCATAAAGGCAGGTGAGCCAGCAGACTTGGCAGTCTTCATCTCGCCTTCCTTGTCGAACATTTCCGAAACACCAAAGTCGACAATTTTCAAGACATCCTCCTCGGTGACCAGGCAATTGTCAGGCTTGATGTCTCGATGGATGATGCCCTGGGCATGAACTGGCGGTGGTTAGCGCTAGACGGAAGTACATGGCAGACCAGACGTACGGTACTCTAGACCCAATATCATGTCTCTGAACCAACACCGACATTGCTCCTCGCTATAGGGGTCGGCACGCTCCTCGAGGCCGACTTGCATAACAACGCCTTTCTTGCACATCTCCATGACCATGTAGAGCGAATCCTCTTCAGGGTCGTCGAGCACTTCGATCAATGTGACGAGGTTCGGATGGTGCAGCTTCTTCATGATGGCAATCTCTTCCTTGATGAGTTCAAAGGCATTGTTTTCTTCGGTTGTCGAGTGTCGGTGGAGCGGAGAATTGAAGCCTATGCCGGCTGGCAGTGCGCGCATTCGTTTACTCGCGGCTGGCCGGCGGAGGAGGTTGGATTGTGCCCGTTTTCGCAACCGCGATTTTGAGAACTCCTTGACAGCCTACGCCATGTGTCGTCAGCTACAGTCACTATGTGTACCACCCAGGTTACCCGCATCATTATATCAGGCATTGCGCCTCTCCCCCATGGCCAGCGGTGTCTAGAGAGCTGGTATCCTCACATATTCTTGACCATACTGGTCTACAGCGAGGTGAACAGCGCCAAATGAGCCGCGGCCAATCTCCTGTTTCACTAAGTATTGGTTGATGCGATGTTGGGCGCTGCCGTCATCTTCGCTATTGCTGTATTCGGACCGCGCATTCAGCGTTTCCTGCAGTCCGTTAGGCTCTACGCATGACAGTATTTATTGGTTGGCTTCTCGGGGCAAATGCTGCCAGCCATTGGGGTGCAGAAGCTGGTGCCAAGTTCGGATAGCTTCGCCAGTGCGTGCATCAGGCCTATGACGTGATGGAGGGCCGATTGGACAGGCGCCGGACGGTGCACTCGAGCGAGACTCGGCTGGGGGAGGGGGAGGGAGTCGCACCTTTACACGTCTGGTGGATGAGGCTGCGCGCGTGTGGTGTCGTAACGGGCTCTGGTATGCGGGTGTTGACCTTGACGGCATCAGCATCTTGGTGGGGTAATGGGTAACAAAGGCAGCCCGGCAGGCAGCAACACACACATGTACTTGACTGGCGGAGGTCGACCGGCGTCGCTGAGGGCGGGAACGGCGAGGGCAGGCTGTGAAGTGTAGAGCTTGAGGTCAGGTTCGGATGGGCGTTTGCTCAGCGGGTCGGGCGAATGGGACATGACTACACAGGGCGAGGGCCGGCCAGGGGGGAGAGATTATGGCATCCAAGTGCAGTAGCAGTAGTACGAAGAGTTAAGATTGAAACTGGGGGCGGGCTAGCAGATAGCAGGTCGCAGGTCGCAGGAGAAATAATATGGGGAAACCCGGGACGGCCAGCCCGCAGCAGAGAGGGGCCCTTTCTCTCGCTGTGCACTTCTTTCAGCCTCATCCGCCCGTCGTCGGTCGAGCACAAGCAATCAATCAGTCAATCAATCAATCAATCAATCACCACCCTCGTCCCCACGCCCACTACTTACTGCCATTAGGCCCAGGCCCACCCGCCCGCTACCTTGGCGGCATCCTCCCCGACTCGCTCCATCGCGCCTTTGACATATCCGTCGCAAGTACCAGCTATCGTGTGTGATTGTGCACAACCCATTGGCGCCGGCTGCACGCCCCGAATCGTCGCTTCGATAGTACATCGACAACACCACGCCCCAACCCCGCATCCCTCCCAAATCACCCTCTCCTGCTGCAGCCTGACCAAGCCCTGCCTCTCCTTATTCCCGATCGCAATGGTCCTCTATAGCTTCTACATCTTCGATCGGCACAGTAAGTCGCTGTCCTGGTCCGGCGATCGGAGCCCATGACAAGTCCGCCGTGCACGCTGCTGACCGCACAATTGCAGCCGAGTGCATCTACTCGCGCCGCTGGACTCCTGCACGCCCAACCTCGTCCTCGTCCAAACCCACCACCGCTGCTGCTGCTGCTGCTGCCGCTGCCCGCCCGACCTCTGGCAACTCGATTGTGAGCAATGGCGACGTCGTGGCTGCCGTCCGCAAGGGCATGTCGCATTCGGACGACGAGAAGCTAGTCTTTGGCCTCGTCTTCTCCCTCCGCAATTTTGTCACCAAGCTCGGCGGCGCCGACGATACCTTCCTCTCTTATCGCACCGGCGAATACAAGCTCCACTACTACGAAACACCCACGCGCATGAAGTTTGTCATGCTCACCGACACAAAGGTCATCAACCT